AGGGCATAGTTGTCTTTGTACTATTCTATTATTTTAGTATAAATAATAAGTGAAGGGGGCGGCCAGATTATTGCTCTCTTTTCCTTCAACTTCTCTTCTTCTCCTTCTCTCTTCCTTCTCTCTTCAAGAAACTATTTTCTTTCATATTTTTTAATTCAGCAGATTTCTACTTGGTATTAGAGCATCGACTAGGGTTTCTTGAAGCATTCTCATGCAGCCCTAGATCAGCTGACTGCATGAAGTAGTAAGGGCTGATCGATCTACTATAGATTGCCCAGTTCTTGGAGTTTTTGGTGGGATCTAGATATCAGGAAGATGATCTATTGTTCAGCATCAAAATCAGGAAGAACTGGAGTACGGGGAAGAGTCCCAGAAAAGTTGGACTCTTTGTTTTTGATGTGATCTTGGGTGCCCAGGTATTGTTAGTTTTCTTTTGATTTTCTAAAGAGGGCAATTTGGTTTCTGAAATTTTCTAGGCCTCCATGAGTGATCGATTCACTTTTCTCTGTGTTGAGAGGTGTGGGGAGGAGAGTGATTTCCCTCCAGCTAGGGTTTTCTTCTTTCGGAAGGGTTGGTTTCTGTGTGTGGTATTAAATTATTTTTTGAAGTTCTCTAATCTATTTTTTCTTATTGTTGAACTGTTTGAAGTAAAATGGAGAGTTGGAATACCGAGATGAAATCTACCGGTATCGTGGGATTGGGTGTTGGAGGTAGTAGTGATATTTTTGGGTCTGGGATCATTACTACGGTAAAACTTGATGGTACAAATTATTTGGAGTGGGCACAATCAACTAAGATGGCTATTGGTGCTCGTGGAAAATTAGGGTATCTCGCTGGGAGGAGAAGAAACCTGATACAGACTCTTCCCGATGGGTGCAAGAGAATTACATGGTAATGTCCTGGCTGTGTAATTCTATGTTACCTCATATTGCAAAAAATTTCCTATGGGACAATACTACTAAGGAGATTTGGGATGGAGTGACTGAAATCTACTCTCAAAAGCAAAATGAAGCCAAAGCCTATCAGTTAAGAAATCAGGTGATAAGTATGAAACAGGGAGAAAAACCTCTTGTTGTGTATTTTTCCATGCTGAAAACCCTATGGTAGGAAATAGATCACTTAGAAACCATGGTATGGGAAAGTGTAAATGATGCAACAACTTATCACAAACTGGTAGAGAGGAATAGGGTTTTTGAGTTCTTGGTAGGGCTGAACCTTGAATTTGACATTGCTAGGCAGCAGATTCTTTCTAGGGAGGGTGTGACACTCTCTTAGGCCTATGCTTTTGTCTCTGGAGAGGAGA